AGAGATATATATATAGATATATAGAGATATAGATAGAGATATATAGAGATATATATATATATAGAGATATAGATAGATAGAGATATATAGAGATATAGATATATAGATAGATATATAGATATATAGAGATATAGATATATAGATATATAGAGATATAGATATAGATAGATAGATATATAGAGATATAGATATAGATAGATAGATATAGATCTATAGATCTATAGATATAGATATATAGATAGATATAGATAGATATAGATAGATAGATAGATATAGATAGTGCACACTCTGACACGGTTCATTCTCACCCCTTCATCCCTGTGGTTTCACAATAACACACTTGTTATATACAGGGCTCTAAATGACTGTTATTATAGCAGTGGAGGTTGTTATTGAAGTACAGTATGATCACACCATTTTGATTTTGCTGTGCTGCACTTCACATTTCCCTTAGCTTGCAGACTGACGAGCCATAATTGTGCCTGTTATCACAATCACAGTAGTTTTTGCTAATGATTAATCATTGTAACCATCATTTGATAAATTCGTATTTGGCTTGCGGCATGATTTATGATATAAACATGAAGCTGAATACAGGATGAAGTCCTTAAAGGTCACATGTACAGAGAAGATTCAAAGTGTTTTGAAAGCCAGTGTTCACATTTTACTCGCAACGTTTTGATGCTGGCAGGCCACCTGAAAAACAACAACACTTATTTACTCTGTTTACTCATCAGAGCCCAATTTGCTTAGCTCCCTCCACAATATGTCCGTTTAGATCCACTGTTCAAACCTAGTTTTCTGCCTCCCTGCCTGAACTCCCTCTCTTGCCTAAATGTAATTAAGCTGTAAATCTCCCATGTAACGCTCTTCATTTTACACACCTATACTTAGCCAGATTTATGCCCTCGTGTTACTGAAGCGGCACATAATTAATAGATATATGCATGGAAACTTGCAATTAAAATATCCTGTCCCGTGGTCTAGCCACCACACTTTTTATTATCAGATCATGGGAACCCCATCCTCTCAGGCCTGTGAGCACGGATCAGTGACACCGACTGTATGTGCTGTAAATCCTGAGGCGTAGTTTAGTAGGAATTGACAACTGCCCACATTTTAGGCTTCTGATATATGTCACAGAATTTACCAACACTTCATCAATGTTAACACTTCCACGAAACCGAGATGGAAGTTAAGCTTCTGCATTGATTTTAGTCTGATGAATCAGATTGTGGATGCTTGCATCAATAAAGGACGCAGGTGGAAGTATTGTTAAAAAAATGAAGCTACTGGGGCAACAAATGTTTGGAGTTATGCACTAAAAACAACCCTTTCCTTAGCCCTACATGAGCAATGAAAAGATCAAATCAGCCACATTTAAGAACAGAAAGAAACATAAAACTGAGTAATAGATTTAAATAAAGACACAAAAGCAGAAAATGAGCGAAATAAAGTATATAGATAGATGATGAATATAGTCAAATTAAAGGACAGAAAGGATATCTTTCAGTTTTGTTTAAGCAGTACTTTCAGCAGCTAACCATATCTTTTCAATTAGTGGCAAGTTAAAATAGCTTTTTGGGTTGGCGCAAATTCCTACAGTGAGAAAATTGCCACTTTTTAGACAATAACGCCCGGAAAACGTTAAATGGCGTCAAATATTCAGTATCAAATGTTAATGTCAGTCAAAGTAAAAAGAGAAACTTATTAAAATGTAGTTATTTAGAGTGTAAACCTGAAACACTCAAGCAAATGTGCTTCAGGACTGTCTGTTTGATTGGATGAGAATTTGATTGATAGAGACCAAACTACCCACCGTCACAGATTTAAAGGCTCCGGGTGCACAGACATAGTAAGTGACATCACCGTTTTCCAACTAAGCCCTGATGTGTGCTGGTTCTGTCGTTGGTAAGTGGTGGATTAGTGACGAGGTGTGTAAACACGTTTAATACATTAGTCTCTGAAGAAAAACTGCCACATGGTTATGATTGATGTTGAAAGCCAACATAGCTGCTTTTGTATGTAAAAAAAATTAAATTAAAAAACAAACCTGGTCTCTCACTTTGT